CAACTGAGCCACCCAGGTACCCTAAACAATTTTTTTTTTATGTTTATTTATTTTGAGAGAGAGAGAGAGAGAGGCATGTGTGTGCATGTAGGGGAGAGACAGAAAAAGAGAGAGAGAGAGAGAGAGAGAGAGAGAGAGAGAGAATCCCAAGCAGGCTCCACAGTTGTCAGAACAGACCCTGACTGGGAGTGTGGGGGGCCCAATACCACAACCATGAGATCATGACCTGAGCCAAAATCAAGCATCAGACGCTTAGCCGACTGAGCCACCCAGGCACCACAGTAACCTAAACAATTCTTAAAAACAAGTGAATTAAATAGATGTGAGCAACATAAAAGTTTATCAATGAACTTTTCAGCAATATTTATGTCTACTTAGTTTCCCCAAATCTTTTTAGTAACCTAAAATCTTTGCTAACCTAAAACTTAAAAGTTAAGTGGTGAGTTCATTTAACATCATTGAATATCCCCATCTCAGGACCATTTCCCAAGAAGATAAAATAATAAATCATTAATTGATGTAGGAGCATGAGGCAAGCTGAGGGCAAAATACAGGCTGGCACCCCATCCCCCCACCCCCAGGTGGAATCTTTGTGATATTCCTCTGACACTCCTAGCTCCCCAAGAACAAAGGAAAGGGGTTTAAGTGCTTGCCATGGTGATGTGGGAAACTAAGGCAAATGAAAAATTAAATTCCCTTACTGCCTATAGTCCATTGACAAGTCCTTGAGACCAACAGAGTGACTGACCTCCCTCTAGGAGCTCTGCTGCCTCAAAGATGGCACTTTGCTAGGGGCAAAAGAGAATCTTGGCTTAATATTGTTCCAACCTTGAGAATCCTGTAAATCTACTTCCTTTATCTCAACTGCCCCAGGATATATGCTGGCAATCAAGCTCCAAGTTTATGCCCCATGCCCCCCATATGCATCTGAGGGGTCTCATGACTGGGGTTTTATTAAATGGTGATAAATGGTGTTTCCCTAGCAACAGATAGCCCCTCAAGGTCCAGGAAACCTTGCTTCCAAAATACCTTAGAGATTTACTTAATCCCTGACCCCTCCCAACCTGAGGGTATATAATGAGTTACCCTTCATGACCCCAGTGCAGCTCTTCCTGCCCATGGGTCCTGTCTCCATGGTTTAATAAAATCGCCATTTTTGCACCAAAGATGTCTTCAAGAATTCTTTCTTGACCATCAGCTCTGGACCCCATGAAACCACCCCCCCCGCCCCGCCCCTCCATCACACCAAAATTTCATCATAATTACTGAACATAGGCTATCTACTTTTGACTTCTTATTACAGGGAAACTAAAAGATATTGGGATGTGTTAGTGCTATATTAGGAAATTTTTAAAAGACAAATGCTTCTAAAAATTATGAAAGGTATTTATACATTTGCAAATTTAAAGAATGCTGGTATTGGTGAGGGAGCATAAGGCGGGCTGAGGACAAAGTACAAGCTAGCACACCACTCTCTCTCCCCCCAGGTAGAATATGTATGGTATTCCTCAGGCACTCCTGGCTGCCCAAAACAAAGGAAAAGAAAGAAAACAAATGGTTAAACTGACAGAGTCTCCATCAGTCTACAAATGTCTTGGTAAATTACAAGAAAAAGGCAATCTTATCAATAGCCTAATCTCCAGAAACCTATAGACTCAGTTTCCTGGAACCCCAACATCACCCTCCCCTCCATAGTGATGTGGGGAACAGAGGCAAGAAGGAAATGGCAGATAAAATTAAATTTCCTTATAACCTGCAGCCCATTGACAAATACTTGAGGCAGGCAGAGTAAAACATTTCTCCAGGAACTCCCTACTGTCTTAATGTTAATGCTTTGCTAGAAGGAAAAGCAACCTTAGCTTGACAATAGCTAGGCCTCCAATAATCTGTGAGTCTTTAGCATATGAAAGTTTCTTTGGAAACTTCCTCTTGTCTTTACCTCCCCCAGCCCCATAGTGTATAATGAGCCACTCTCCACAACCCCAGGGCAACTCTTGTTCCCCTCCCACTCCCCCCATCCCCACTTCAATAAAATCTTTGCACCAAAGACATTAAGAATTTTTTCTTGGTCAATAGCTCCAAACCCCACCATCACCCCAAAACCTCATCAGTATAACAGGCAGTTCACAATTACTTACTTCTTTAGTGGTTGTTGTTATTATTTATTTATTTATTTGTTTGTTTGTTTGTTTTAAGTAGGCTCCATGCCCAGCGTGCACAACCCTGAGACCAAGAGTCTCATGTTCTACCGACTGAGCCAGCCAGGTGTCCCACTTACTTATTAGTTTTCACTGAGAAATTAAGGTTTCTAAGGGTTAAGAATTCTAATTAAGGTATGTAATAAAAGCTACTAAAAGTAACATAAGGATCTCTACTTCCTGGGAAAATAAAATATCTTTTCATTAAGACAAGGTATGACAGATGCACTTTTTTTTTTAAGTAGCCTCCATGCCCTACATGGGGCTTGAACTCACAATCCTGAGATTGAGAGTCACATGGTCTATCAACTGAGCCAGCCAGCCACCCCCCAGAGATGCACTTTTGTTGAGGGAAAAAAGAGTAATTTTATCCTCAAGTAGGGCTACTTTAAAAAGAAAACCACAGGGGCACCTGGGTGGTTCAGTTGGTTAAGCGTCCAACTTCAACTCAGGTCATGATCTCATGGTTACTGAGTTCCAGCCCCACGTTGGGCAGTGTGAAGCCTGCTTGGGATTCTCTGTCTCCCTCTCTCTGCCCCTCCCCTGCCTGCACTCTCTCTTCCTCTCTCTCTCTCAAAAATAAACATTAAAAAACAAAACAAAACACAGGACCCAAATGGCATCAATCAGGTTAAGGCCCCAAGTCAGTAAGCCAAGACTTAAAGCCTAACCTAACTGCACTTTTAACCCTCCAGGAATGTAATGTTTAACCAATCAACAAAGAATTTCCTGGCCAATACTAGAAAATTTCCTGATGGCTCCCTTCCCCTCCCTTTAGGAGGGCAACATTGCCTAAACAATGCACTCCTTGCTAATAAATTCCTTTCTTCTTTTTTTTCTTATGCCTTTGAAAATCCTTCTTTTGTTTAGCTCAGTGGAGCTCTCCTCTACTTGCTAGATGAGATGCTGCCTGATTCATGAATCCTTCAATAAGCCAATTCGATCTTCAAATTTACTCAGTTGAATTTTGTTTCTTAACAGAAGAATCCATGAAGAAAATGGCATTTGTACTGACTTTTGAACAATCTGGACAGGCAGAGATAAGAAGGAGGGGATAACTGAGATGATTTGTTGTCCCCTAATATCTGTTCCATCAGTGGTCATGCCCCCAAAATTTTAGCTGTGCAACTGGACACCCAGAATAAAGGTTACATTTCCCAGCCTCCCTTTCAGCCAGGCATGGCCACGTGACCAAATTCTGGATAAAAGGATATAGCAGAAGTGAGGTATTCAATTTCTAGGAAGTATTCTTCAAAGCAGGGGGCATGCTCTTCCTTTCTTTCTCTCCCTCCTGCTGGCTAGAATGTGAACTTAATAATGAGCTGGAGCAGCTACCTTTGACCTAAGAGGAAGCTACACATTGAGAATGCTGCACTATAGGGTTGAATCAGTCCGGGTCCGTGAAAATCATAAAGACCATATGAGACCTACCATGGTCTTGTTTACGCTGCTGTTGTGTTTATGTCTTAGGTGGGCTGCCTGAAACAGATCCTGAGACCAGGCTTCACTTGCAAGTGAACTATTAAATGTTCCCAGGAGGAACAAGTAAGGGAGTGTGGGAAGCAAGACAGGAAAGGGGAAAACAAGGGTGTGCTTTCAAGCAAAGTGCCAGCCTCAGGCTGATCCTGAAAGGGAGCTCCGGAGCACAAATTACACCTCAGAGTTTGTCTTAATTTGAGACAAGGGACTGGGCTTTTGTCCTTCCTCACTAGTTCAAGCTAAAGGTTGCTCCCAGGCCCTCTGCATATGCAGAAACTGTGGGAAATGATAAACAGGTCCAAGGGGATCCAGTACAATCTCAACAGGCCCCTTACACTCGGTTTTCGGTCACTCATAGCTGAACTAATTTTCATGGGTACCAAATCCATTCCCACAGAGGGGAGAGTGTAAAGGGCACAGAACCTGGGGTGGGGGGGGGGGGGGGGGAAGGTGTATATCAAAGTATAGGAAAGGAAGAAATAGAAAACAAAGTTGGGAAACCAAATTGTAGTCATTTGGACTATATGGAAAGCTGTAAATGCCTGGCCAACCCATATGAAAGGAAGCTGGGAGGACCTTTGAACATGATGATTCAAAAGATGAACTTGGTGACTACGAGGGGGTGAACTAGACTGAAACTCACGTGGAGTAGTGTCCGTAATTAGGCCATATTTGTAGCCTAGGCAAAAGGTAATGGTGGCTCAACCCCAGATGATGGTTCTGGGAAGGGAAAGGAGGAAAATGATCACAGATCTTATAAAGACTCAGTCTTGGGGCACCTGGCTCTGTCGGTAGAGCATGTGACTCTGGATCTTGGGGTCCTGAGTTCAAGCCCCATGTTGGGTATAGAGCTTAATTAAAAAATTTTTTTAATAAAAATGTAAAAAGATTCTCATGGGTCATAGAGAAATAGGTGGCAGCCGGACTTGGCCTAGGAGTTGTAGCTCGCCCTGCTCTGGCTCCCAATTTAGGCGTTAACAGCCACTGAAGGGCACCTCCTTAGAGACATCAGCATGGTCACCAAGTGCATGCCACCAAAGACCCATACAGGAGTCATAGCGCCTCCTTGTTCTGTGGTTTGGGAGGCTGCTCCTCTGGGCCCAGGGGTTCTGGTGACACCACCTCTTCTCTCTGTTCCTCCAGCCCGGGGTAATAGTGCTTCCTGTAGTCACCACATCTGGTCACCACAGTGCCTCCCTTTGCTCTTCCAGCCCTCCAACACTGGACTAGCCATTCCCTGCACACACAGCCTATATGGAGTGCCTTGTGTGGGCTCATTTTCCTGGATGGGTCCAGACTGACACAGAAATCCTTCTGTTTTAGGGGTGGGAAGAGGAAAAGAAAGCTGAAAAGGAGCCAGAGAGGCAAGAGGCAAAGTAAGTGTGTCTCGAAACTGAAGGAAGAGGCGCCTGAGTGGCTCAGGTGGTGATCTCACGGTTGGTGTGTTCGGGGCTCTGAACTGACAGTGTGGAGCCCACTTCAGATTCTCTGTCTCCCTCTTTCTGATACTCCCCCTCTCATGTGCACTCTCTTTCTCTCAAAAATAAATACACATTAAAAAAAAGGAATGAAAGGGAAAAAATGTTTGGGAATGGTGAGCAGGAGTCACTGACCCTGAGAGAGGAGGAAGCATGAGAAGAGGCTGATGATTAGAGGAGAGGAAGAATGGCCAGACCTTCCAGAAGCAGCCCCTGGGGATGGCGGGGGTAGGAACAAGCTAGAGAAAGACTCGGCCTCCTCTTGGGAGACTGTGAAGAGCAGGCAGCTTGAGGGAAGTGTCTGATGTGGTGCCACAAAATCCATGTGGGTGTTTGGCTTACTGGGCTTTGGGCAATAGCCCCTTGTCCGGTAACACCCTTATGGATAGGCAAACACAGGCAGATTGCCAATGGCCACCTCTCAGCCCCTGCAGAGGACTAACCATAGTATGGCAGCCAGAAACACCCTGCAAGAGGGGTGTTTTCAAAGTCTTCATGACTTATTAATTCAGCAAATGTTTATTCACCACCTCTTATGTGCCAAGTGCTACTCTAGGTGCTAAGGATATAGTAGTGAGTTATTTCTTTTTAATGTTTATCTTATTTTTGAGAGAAAGAGAAAGCGAGCAGGTGTGGGGGAGGGGCAGAGGGGGGGCTGGGGGGCTGGGGGAGGGGAGAGAGAATCCCAAGCAGACTCTGCACTGTCAGTGCAGAGCCAGATGCAGAGCTGGAACTGACAAACCACAAGATCATGACCTGACCGGAAACCAAGAGTCTGATGCTCAAACGACTAAGCCACCCAGGCACCCACAACAGTGAGTTTTTAAAAACTTACTCCTCTGGGCACCTGGCTGGCTCAGTCAGTAGAATGTACAACTCTTGATCTCTGGGTTGTAAGTTTGAGCACCACACTGGGTGCAAAGATTACTTAAAAATAAAATCTTTTTAAAAATTAAATTAGGGGTGGCTCAGTCGGTTAAGCATCTGACTCTTGATTTCGGCTCAGGTCATGCTCTCATGGTTTGTGGGACCAAGCCCTCTGTCAGGCTCCATGCTGACAGTGTGGAGCCTGCTTGAGATTCTTTCTCTTTTCCTCTCTCTCAAAATAAATAAATAAATAAATAAATAAATAAATAAATAAATAAACTTTTAAAAAATAAAAAAAATAAAAACTAAACTAAAAAGTCTATTCCTTCAAGGAGGAGCTTACATTCCTGTGGAGGGAGACAAGTAATCAAGAAAGAAACACAAAAGGGCAGATGCTGACAAGTGCTCTGGAAAACAAAACAAAACAAGGTGAGGAGGCTGGGGAATGTGGGATGGGGTGTTTCATATCAGGCCAGGTTGGGCAAAAGATGATAAAGCAGTAAGTGAGCAAAGGCCTGAAGGAAGTAGGAGAGTACAGAATGTTCTGGACAGCAGGAAACACTAAGGCAGAGTCAGGTGTGTGGTATCATTCACAAAACAGCAAGGAAGCCAGTGTAGCTAGAGTGGATGGACTGAAGGGGAGGATAAGAATAGGGTTTGAGCAGAGAAGTGATGTATCTGATATTCACTGTGAAAGGTTGACAGTGACTAGTGTGTGGAAAAGACACTATAGGGGGTTGAGATGATCCCTCCATTCTTAGAACAATATTACTATAGATAGGAATAAAAGTCAAACCCCACAAATACAGGCTGGTGCTCAACTGGCTGGGTACCAAGAATAATAGAAGAAAAGCTATAGGTCAGAGTTGTCTACACCCCAACCATGAGACAGTAGTGTGGTAAACCAGGCAATCCTGCAATATGTGACATCTGACCCATGAAGACTAGGACACTGACTCTGCCACGTTTGGCCTACACAGGGCCCCCTAGCACACAGTTGCCTTATGCTTGCAATGCTTCCCACCTGTCCCACGGCCCAGGCTGCACACAGGCCTGTTCTCTCCATAAGTGTTTTCTCCCACTGTTTTCCCTTCTCTTCTGGCTGTGCCTCTAATGCTGTCATTCATTCAGCAACTACCATGTGTAAAACTTAATGAAGAACGCCACAGGAGAGTCTCTGATAAGGACTTGGAGCTTGAATCTTTTGTTAATTGCGCCTAGAGAGCTCTGTCTGCTGTTGGCACAAATCTCTCTTGTTAGCCCCTTCTGGTTTGCCCTCTAACTGAGGGCTTTTTCTCCACCTCTCACAGATGCACTCTTGGAATGTCTGCCCTGCCAGACAAAGGACTTCTCTACAGCCCAAAATCACTGGCTTCAGTTTGGGTCAGGACCGGCAACCTAGTCTCAGTCTCAGGTGAAGAAAAACAGGGCCCGGGTTGGCAGAATGGTGCAAGGAGTCGAGGGCTCTTTAACTTCTCCCCGTTCCACCTCCAAACGGGGACTTTTTTCCTGGCAAGCTCAGGTGCTACATGGTCAGAGCAGGGCCAGGGTCAACAGCCAATCCCTATCTCCTTCCCTCTTAGGTAACAGAGAAGAAAGGCCCAGTCTAGCCTTGGGTCCAATGAGAATGAAACCTTGAAATGGCTTATTTGGACCAGAGACTGGAGCTAGTTTCTACCCTGCCAAGAGGCAGGGAAAGGTTCCTTCTCCAGAGCTTGGAGATGCCAGCCTTGCGGATTCCCAAAGGTCTGTGGCTCTGTGTCCAGCCTCCTGCTCCAGAGCCCCAGGCAGAGTCCTGGAGACTAGACACAACCAGCCAAAGGCTCTGGGAGACCACAGGGGCTGGGGACGAAGCTCCTGGCCCAGAAGCTGTGGCAGAGAGCTGTGTATTAGCTGCATGGCCTCTAAGTGGCAGGAGCGAGAGTCCAGGAAGGAAGGGGAGGTCCGGAGCAAGGACTGCTGGACCAGGCTTGTGGCAACCACTCTGCCACGCTCTTCCCCGGGCCGTGCAGCTTAACTCTCTTCACACTCGTGAGGCAGGACTATGTCCAACTTAATAGATAATAAATCTGAGTCTCAGGTCACACAACTTTCCCCAAAACACACGATCTACAGACTCCAGAGCCTGTTCAGACACCGAGGCTGCTGGGAAGAGGCCCCTACAGCCTTGTCAAGAGCCCCAGCTACCTGTGTGGAGTCTATGGTCAAGCTCACACCTAACATCCAAGTCGTGTCTATCATGAGGAGTTACTGGACAGTTGAATGTCAAGTGACTTCACCCCTTACCCTCACTCCACTCCTGTCTCCTACAGGTACCCCCACCCTTCTGCCCTTCTCACCCTAAGCTGGCCACATCCCAAAGCCATCGGATAATGGGTTTTACTAGTACGAATGCATTCCAAAGGGAGGGGGGTCCAGCCCAGTCGTAGCTACCACAGCTGCTAGAGGTTTGTCCCAACCTTTAGTGCTTTGGGCTTCTTTGTCTGCCTCCCACCAACATTCCCTCTCCTTTCTGCAGCAGATTCCCACGCCATTGGAGCCTAGCATAAGGAACAGTCCCCAGCTCGTCACAGCTTTGCTGCGCCCCCACACCTCATCTCCCCTCTCCCTGACTGCCTCCTCCTCACCAGCGTGGGGATTTGGCTGGAGTAGCTTGAGCTTTGAATTTTAGAACAAATCCAGAGAACCCAGTAGCCCAGGGGGACCTGGGAAGGGGCTAACAACACCGGAGGTCATGTGACTGCCTTTGGCTTCTTATTGCTCCTCAGGCTTTGCTTAGCACTGAATTGGGGCCCCTGCCCTCCAGAGCCAAGGGGTAGGGGGTGGAGGGCAGCACAACCACAAATAATACCACATAAGAAACTCTAGAGCTGACCTAGGCATACAGCCCCATGTTTTGCTTGGAGAGCGATCCACACCACGGAACAGGGACATGCTGGCTGCTTAGTCCGCACTGAAGGGTGAAATCGCCTTCAACTTCTCCGTGCCTCACATGATGATCGGCCTGCACCATCTCGACCTATTCCAGGGTGGTTGGAAAGCTATGAATCAAACAACAGATGGGACAGGTAAATGTGCTTGTGTAAACAGAGATTCATTAGGGAGGTATGTGGGAGGGGGGGTGACCTCCTGGTGTGAAAGCCCTTGTTCTCTTCCACCTAACACTCAGTGCAGGGGCACCTCCTGGTCTCTATGGTTACCAAGAGCAGCCTTGCCACGGAGAACCTGGAGTGTAAACAGCAGGAACCGGGTCTGCGGCTGCCATGTCTGGAAGGAGCCCTCACACAAGGGCAAGGGAGGAAAGGGTGGGGCCCCTGCAGGCTCCCCAGGCCAGAAGGAGGAACTTCTTTACCTGAAAACAAATTTCCCAGGTGTGGAAATCTCCCCGCACTTATTCTTGGCACACGGCATTTTGAACAGTTGTTCCCAGTTTACTTCGAAGATGTCACTTTTAAAATATTTTTTCAATTTCTCTATTTTCATCATAGAGAAAGAGTCAACTAGATGTGAATGTGCCTTTCACATGTGCTCGTTCCCCATTTAATAAGGAAGTTCTGTGAGAAGAAGCAGTTGCAGCCTCGAGAGGTGAAATTCTGCCCTGGAAACTAAGACGGGTGAACTGCTAAGTCCAGAATGAAGACCAGACACCAGGAAGCCTGAAGCCAAATGTCCTGTATGCACATAAGTATGATCATTGTAGTTTAAATGGTTGCCTCCTTCCCTTCCCATGGCTGCCAAACAGGGATGTGGGTAATAATCACAATTTGCTGTATCTTCACGTTATCTTTACATACAAATTGAAACCATAATTATGAAATAAAATGGAGTACTAACGTGGGATTTAGGAATGCTCATGAATTTTCCTTCATATCTGATGTGCTGGATAACTCTGGCCTTGACTCTCAGCCTCTCCAAGACCCCAGCTGCACCCATGGGGCCAGCCAGCACCGGTCTGAGAATCCCAGGGGGCCCTAACCCCACCTTGCAGACGCACAGGTGCAGGGGCTGTGAGAGCCAGCAGTGCTGAGGTAAGACTCAGAGCAGTGCCCTGGCAGATAGTAACCTGACTGGTTTATCTCCCCCTTGGACATCTTGTCCCTGTTGCCACCCATGGCTCAGAGGTACAGATTCCAAGATCCACTGGCCACCACTGGCCTGGGATCAGCCTTCCTTCCCCTGATCCTCTGCTCACCATGCCAGTCATTTAACACACATAAACACAGTGTGAGGCAGGGTACGTCGGTGTGTACCCAAATCTAGTGCAGACCCTTTGACTGTTCAGATGGTTAGAGTGTCCACCTCCCTTCTCCCACCCCACCCCACCCTAGGAAAAATTCAGCTCCCCCCTCCCCATTTTGAAAGAGAGGGGTGGGCAGATGGGAAGAGAGAAAGAGAGAGAGAGAGAGATCAAGAATCTCAAGCAGGCTTCATGCTCAATGTGGATCCTGATATGGGGCTCAATCCCACGACCCTGGGATCATGACCTGAGCCAAAATCAAGAGTCGAATGCTTGGGGCACCTCGGTGGCTCAGTTGGTTAAGCATTTGACTCTTGATTTCAGCTTGGGTCATGATCTTGCAGTTCATTAGTTTGAGCCCCACATTGCTCTCCGCACTGACAGTGCAAAGCCTACTTAGGATTCTCTCTCTCTCTGCCCCTCTCCGGCTCTCACTCTCTTGCTCTCTCTTTCAAAAAAAAAAAAAAGAGTTTGACGCTCAATTGACTGAGCCACCCAGGCTCCCCCAGACTCTTATCTCTCAGCTCCACTGCATAATACAGAAGGTTCAACCCCTTAGCATAACCTCCAAGACCACCCCTGTTTTCAACACTAACCTGCTCCCTTCACAGCACCCACAGGAAGCAAATGGGCTTAGGAGGCATGTGGGGGTACCAGAAAATGCTGGACTTAGAGGGGCATGGATCCCCCTCTCAGAATCTCACAAAACAAATATTGTCCTCTCCCCAAGGGAGGGGTGGGGAATGGATATTCATGCCCCACTTGCCCATTTTATTTGAGTCCCTTAGTCTATGGCCCTCCGGTTAAAAAGCCCTGCTCCTGGTGAACTTGGTCTCACAGTGTGTAGAGAGAGAAACAGAATAGAATTCTCAAACATCCTTTCTCTTTTTAGCAAGCCAAACCTTGGAGCAGCCAGAGGCAGGAGCGATCAGGCAGGGGACAGCCATCCAGAACATTCTGGAATCACCATCTGAGGAGCAGAGGGGAGCTGTGTGTGCAGCCAGCTGTGGTCAGACAGAGGAAATGCAGGGTCTGGCTGCTGGCCATTCTTACCCTCGCTCCCACCATCAGGATCTCTGGCCCCATCCTGACCCCTGGTGGCTGCCCGTGGGATGAGGTGAACATTCTTCCCAAGCTCCTCCCTGCCCTGGTCCCAGCATAGCAGGAAAAATGAATCCCCCACCCCACAGGTCCTGGCTAGGGTCCCCAGGAAGTACAAGTGTGTTTCCTAAGGGTTTTTCAGGAGGGTTTACTCCACTGTGGTCACCAGGTGCCTTCTCAATGTAAGTCCAGAGACCAATTAAACAAATGTATATAAAGAAAGCCCTTTCATCTGCCAAGTTGGCAAAAGGTGTGTTAAAAAAGAGGTGTGTGTCTGTGTGAATGTGTGTGTGTGTGTGTTATAACTTAAAGTTAATGCAGGCTGGGTGCAATAACACCAGCACTCTCATGCACAATTCTTGAGAGTACAAATTTGTATAACCCTTCTGCAAGTGATCTGAGCAAAATAAATCCAAAATCTTACTAAGCATTCTATCCTCTGACCCAGTAATTCTGTTAGGAATCCAGCTTCAAAAAAATCAATACTCAAATAACATGAAACCCAAAATTTGAAATAAATGGGAGAGGAAAAAACAATATAAGCCAAGCGTGATCATCACTGAGGCTGGATGATGATTACATGACAGTTCTTTATTCTGTTTTGTTTTGTTTTGTTTTTGTCTGCTTTGCTATATGCTGTGAATTTGCCATGATATTTTTAGAAGAAAGCATCAGAGATGCAAAGATTTGTATAAAAGATGTTAATTTTTAATAGCAAAAACTGCAAATGGCAAAAAAAAGTGCTATGCTGGGATGGTTAAACAAATTATGCTGCATCCAAATAGTGGGATATTATGCAGCCATTAAAAATGCAAGAGTGTTTTCATGATGTGGAAAAATGCTTATGTGATGCAAAGCAAATAAGTAGGAATCAAAATTGCATATGTAGTATTTAACTGAGTATGTTAAATGAAAAGTGCATAGGGGTGCCTGGGTGTCTCAGTTGGTTGAGTGTCTGACTCTTGGTTTTGGCTGAGGTCATGATCCCAAAATTGTGACATCAAGGCATGTGGCAGGGTGGAGAATGCTTAAGATTCTCTCTGCCTCTGCTTCTGCCCCTCCCCACTCATGCTGGCTCTCTCTCTAAAAAAATAAAAATAAAAAATAAAAAGTGCATAGAAGGAAACTGTATGTGGGGCGCCTGGGTGGCGCAGTCGGTTAAGCGTCCGACTTCAGCCAGGTCACGATCTCGCGGTCCGTGAGTTCGAGCCCCGCGTCGGGCTCTGGGCTGATGGCTCAGAGCCTGGAGCCTGTTTCCGATTCTGTGTCTCCCTCTCTCTCTCTGCCCCTCCCCTGTTCATGCTCTGTCTCTCTCTGTCCCAAAAATAAATAAACGGTGAAAAAAAAAATTAAAAAAAAAAAAAAAAGAAGGAAACTGTATGAAAATACACTAACATGTTTGTTATACAGTGAGACTAGGGATCATTTCTATTCTTGATATTGTCCCTTATTTTCTTAATTCTACAATAAGCATGTCTTTTATAAATAGGTCCCCAAATTGCCTTTGTGGAAGTATACCAACTTGGGGGTCTGAGATACATTCAGCTCCAAGGACTGCCATGTATTAGCTGTGCAACATTGAGAAATTCACATCTGGGTCCCAGATTTCTCACCTATAAAACTGGCATAACACCAACCTATTTTTCAAGCACCCTCCCCCGCGCCCCCCCCCCCCCCCCCCCCGTCTGGCGGGGGGGGGGGGGCCTCTGCATATACAATCACACACACCATTCATACATGGTCATTTCAATCCTTACAATAAGCTCTGGAGTAGATTAGGGCACTGCCATCTTAAGAACTACACAAACTGTGGCTCAGGAAAATTAGGGAATGTGCTCAGTTTTACCCATCTAATAAACAGTACAGGTGGGATTCAGACATAGATCTGACCATCTTTGAAAGCCCTGTTCTCAGACCCTTCAGCCTGGTCTGCTTATGGTTACAGTTCTTTTTGCTTTCTTTCTTTTTTATATATATTTATTTTTGACAGAGAGACAGAGCATGAGCATGGGAGGGGCAGAGAAAGAGGGAGACATAGAATCTGAAGCAGGCTCCAGGCTTTGAGCCGTCAGCACAGAGCCCAACTCCTCGGGGCTCAAATTCACGGACCACAAGATCATGACCTGAACCGAAGTCGGATGCCCAACCAACTGAGCCACCCAGGCGCCCCTACAGTTACATTTCCATTGGACTGAATGCAGGTAAAGTGCCACACACAGTGCCCGGCTCCAAGCACAGAGCTGCTCTACTGGTTGGTTCCCTTTTCTATGACCTCAGCATAATGGTACATTGTGGCAAAACAAACCAGTGCACCCTCCAAAAAAAAGCATCTCTGATTTAAAAGAAGGGATTATAGGATCTGCAGGGACAAACCAGACTGGGGCTGGAAGACTGCCTCACTCAGGGAGATATGGGGGCTGGGACAGTGTGCCAAATTCCAGGGTAGTTCTGCCAGTGACTTCTTCAGGGCTTCATCAGCTCTACACATTGCTTTGCAGCCTGGAATTCCGTCCAGAGTCACTTCACTGAGCAGGCATCAATTCCTACCTTCCACTTACCCCTCCCACCCTTTCTCCCTAAAGAACAGGGCACAGGTCTCACCAGTCCTGTAGATTTCTTATTCTTCCCTTGGAGAACAGGAAAATCTTAGGGGCTGAGTAGAAAGAGGCCCTGTGTGGAGAAGGAAGTCCTGAATATCTGAGGGTGAGGAATGTGAGGGTGGTTGGCCTGCTCCAGAATCCTTTCTGGATTCATCCTTTAAGATACCTCTTTCCCTAGGGAGCCAGCCTAACTTAGTTTCCATCTCTACTCTACTTCTACCCCTCGAAACTGTTATAGCACTAACTACACTAGAGTTACTTGTTAGTTTACTAGTGAGTTGCTTAGTTTTTTGCTAGTAAGCTCCATGAGGACAATACTTGATCTCTAGCACCTAGCAATGTGCCTGGTACACAGTAAACTATGTAAATGTCTGCTAAATGGCAAAATGGAGGGAGGAAAGAAGGAAGGAAGAAAGAGAGGGAGGGAGGGAGGGAGGAAGGAAGGAAGGAAGGAAGGAAGGAAGGAAGGAAGGAAGGAAGGGAGGAAGGAAATAAGAGAGGGAGGCAGGAAGGGAGGGAGGGAGGAAGGAAGGAAAGAAGAGAGGGAGGCAGGAAGGGAGGGAGGAAAGTCCTCTCTACCAAGTAGACTTGGTAGTCTTGGCCCAAGTAGACTCACAGCTGCCCTGTTCTGTGCAAAGCACTTAGAAGATGCGATCCCTGCCCTGGAGACTTAAAATATACACATTTCTCCAACTTTGTATCCATCTTTGGGAAAATACATTGCAAGGGTAATTCCTGTTTATTCCAAACCTCATGTTCTTTATTTTACTAAAGTACTCAAAACGGAGCTCCTGAGTCTGAGGGAGGTTCCCAAGTACATGGAATCCTGGGAAGAATTATAGGGCTCAGAGGTCTGAAGTCTAGCGTTCTAATCCTAGCTCTGCCACCTCAGCTGTGTAACCTCCAGTGAATGACTTTCCCCTCTGGGCCTCAGTTCTCTTTGTAAAATGGATGGGCCTGATTTTGTATGAAAATAAAAGCAGTTGGGTATATCTGACTATTTACCCCATTGTGTGTATTTGGACAGTATCTTCCCTCCTAAATGCTTAGGTGCAGGATAGATGCATCAGTAAGCTGAGGGGCAGGAAGACAGCATGTGCCTATTTCGGTCTGTAAAAAGGAAGGCCCAGGATGTGCTGCCCCTCTAGTGAGTGGTTGGAGTGGTGGTCGACCAAAGGTGGGCTTACCACAATAAGGACCCACCCAAACATGTCTATGTGTCTTAGCCCCTAGGTTTACAAAAGGCTCCAAAGCCCCAGAGTCTTCATGGCACTACCAAGGACGAACCCTTGTTCACCATTCAAAAACAATACACCCCTCATACCACCCTTCCCCCTTCGGAGAGACAACCCAGGGAGAAATAGTCAGCAGAGGTGGAAGATGGTGAGATCTGGAAAAGCACTGGTGAAGCCAGGCTTCCTGCAGGGCCCCATCTCAGGCTTCCCCAGAAAGTGCAAGCAGGGGAGCTTTCTGGCCCCCTGCAGCAGTTACTTCTGGAGGACAGTGGGTTTGGTGGACACAGGCATCCATGCCCAAAGGCTTCCTGGCTTCAGTCCAAGCGGCTGGCAGGTTCATCCTTCTCCCTAGAGCCCCACGAACACCACTTCCGGCCCTCCTGTCTCTGCTTGGGCTCTAGCTGCCTGGATTTCTATGCCCATGACAGGCCTTCCCTGTGCAGAGCTTTCTCGCTCTCCCTTACAACCCTTATTCACTCGCACTCTCCCTATCTATTTCTTTCTCCCTCCTCCTCCTCCCCTGCTTCTCTCCTTGCCAACCCTCAGCAGTCCCAGAATGGGTCCCCCCTCCCTCCCCCACAGCATCTCCCCCTCCTTAGCTCTCACCCCTGCACCTTTCTTTGTATTCCTTTCGCCCTCTCCCGGCCTCGCCTGTATCTCTCCTCCCCCGCCTGCCTTCAGCCTCCCCCAGCCTCCCCATCTTCAGCTCAGTCTCCTCCCTCTCGCTGTGCTCCCCTCCCCCTCTCCCCCAACCCTCGGTCTCACCCCACTCCCCGCCGGCATCCCTGGGTTTCTTTCCACCCTAGGGGAGGGGGGGGTCTCTGTGCCCCTCATTCTCCTCTCTACCTGCCTCTACTTTCACCTCAGATTTAGCCAGCACCCATCTTTTCCTGCCTGGGTCCCCCACACACACTGCTAACATCGCCACTGTGTCTTCTTCCTCTCCTTCTCTCCCCACCCTCTCCTCTTCTCTCTTCTCCCTGCCCCTTTAAATCTGCCTGGCCCAGCCTCCCCCGTGATGCTGGGATGGAGCAAACATTGATTTGTGCTGGGATGGAATCGGAATTTTGATTTTTTTTTTTCCTTTCCCAACCATAAGAAGGGAAAAAAATAATAAAAAACACCTCCTTTTGATAGCCCCCTCTCCTTTCCCATCCAGTTCCCAGCTCCTCTTCCCTATCTCCATCCAAGGCAAAATTTTTCCCCTCCACTATTCTCATCCACCCCCCCACCCCTGCCACTACCTCGCCCCCCACCCCCATCGCCTGCTCCTCCAGCTGGGGAGAGAGGGGACTCTCTCTTGCGGCTCCCCCACCTTCGCTCTCTGGGTAGGAGCAGTCTCTCCGGAAGGGGAGGGGGCTTTGACTTGCCGGGACGAGGTGGGAGTGGAGGTATCCTGCCATGGATGCTGTGCCTGGGAGGCAGCCTGAGCCCCAGCCCACATGGTGAGTAACCTGCCCCCTCCCTTCCGCCTGTCTGCCCATCCCCACCCTCGTCTTTTCCCTGCGGAGCCTCCTCCATCCCCATCTTTCCCCCCCCCCCGCCCCCCGCCCCCCTGGGCCCGCTCCCCCCCCCCCCCCCACATTTTCATCCTCCACCCCTTGCCTGGGAAGCCAGAGAATCGGGGCAGAAGGGTCCTGACAGCAGCCAGAGGAGCGGACGGCCCACGACTCTGCCCAACCCCCTCTCAGGGCCCCCCCCCCCCCGCCCGCCCCAGCAACTGCCATCCACACCCGACACTTTGGGATTCCAGGCTGGAGAAACAGGACTCCTGCTTGGGGTTGGGGCCCCAAGTCCTCGGAGGGGCTCTCAATAGGAGGGAGGGGTGGGGGAGCCCCCATGCCCCCAAAGCTTAAGAGCTGCTGGAAGATGCTGCCGAAGGGTGGGGGGTTGGGGGGCGGTGCT